AAGGTATGTCTTCTTTCTCAGTCCCTTCGGGCAGAGGAGGTGGAGTATAAACCTTATTATTATTATTATTATTATTATTATTATTATTACTATTATTATTCCAATTAAATTAATTAGTCTCACTGCTCTACTGACAATTCGTTTAGTTGCGAGCATCTCTGAATAGGAAAACGGCTGCGGAGGAAGCATGAAATAAATATTTTACATGTACTGTCAATGATCTAAGACTGACTTAATTTTAGATGTCAGATAAAATGGCCGTGCTGGCTAAGGATGATGGGAGATGGAATCCTACAAATGTGAGGACCCAACACCACTGACAATTTAATGCAGATCAGATTGCATTATATGATCAGCATTGACCTATATAATGCAGCTCAATGTGGTTACACTGTATTTTAATCTACACTGACCATTTGATGCAGAATATACACTGACCATTTAATGCTTAAACTGTATATGAATCTACACTGACCATTTAATGCAGTTTAACCACATTGAGCTGTATTATATAGGTTAATGCTGGCCATATAACGCCATTCAATCTGCATTAAATTGTCAGTGTATATGGGACCTGAGAGAGGCACAAGTTATCAGCAAACTCGCAAACTTTGTCGAAGTAGTTCTTATGATACAATTAAAGCTTTGGCTAGAGCTTGAAACATGGTGGGATATAAGAATAAACCAAAATATTATGTGGTGATTTTTACATGTTTGTGGATAACAATTTCTAAATGATTGGGACAGTTTAATCTAGGCACGGGTAACTTTCAGCCCTCCAGGTGTTTCGGACTCCAACTCATAGACATCCCAGTCAGCTTACCAGCTGTTAGGAATTGTGGGAGTTGAAGTCCAAAACACCTGGAGGGCCAAAGTTTGTCCATGCCTGCTTTAGTCCATTGGTATCCCTGAGGTGTTTTATCATGCAGGAATAAAATGGTGATAATTTAGAATCGGAGAAATGTTTGAAGGTATTTGGGGAACTTACAACTGAAGCCACATGTTCTACACTGTTCACTCATTCTCCCCCAATTCATATTAGGATTTGATTAACTGTATGACTTCACATGGTAGAAAGCAGAATCACAAAACAAGTTTCTGTAGAGGCTGAGATTGATGCTATGGAACAACAGAGTATGGAAAAACAGTGTGTTATCCACCCATCTATTTCTATCCGGATATTCTGAAAAGCTTAAGAGCCATTGACTCCCGAGTAGATTTGTGTGAACAGCATTGACCAGCCTTGAATATAGCAATCGGCTGAGGCTGCAAAGCTTGCCCCCAAACCTAAAGGAAGTCAGGACTATAGGAAGGAATAAGCTCCACATGAATCAGAATGAGACCAGTCTGCTGGCATTTGACTTTTTTTTAATCAGTATTTTTAAAATACTGCTGGTGGCACAGCAGGTTAAACTGCTGAGATGCTGAACTTGCTGACCAAAAGGTCAGCGGTTCAAATCCAGGGAGCGGGTGAGCTCCTGCTGTTAGCCCCAGCTTCTGCTAACCTAGCAGTTTGAAAACATGAAAATGGGTTCTGCTGCATCAGGAAGGTAACTGCCCTTCATGCAGTCATGCTGGCCACATGATCTTGGAGGTGTCTACGGACAACACTGGCTCTTCGGCTTAGAAATGGAGATGAGCACCACACCCCAGAATCAGACACAACTATACTTAATGTCAAGGGGAAACCTTTGCCTTTACCATTTATTTATTTATTTATTTACTCTCCTGCTGTCAGCTCAGGCCTAAAGGACTTTCAACTAGAGGCAAAATCCCTACTAAGATAAAAAATTAAAACAAAATTGAGCCAGTGGTGTGTTTTTTTAAAGCACAAGTTAATGACAGTTTTAAGACATACATTTAAAACAGCACATCTTTTTCAAACTGAGCCACAGGACAAAGGCAAGGGGATCTGGAAGGCACCCAGTTTGAGTCGAACCATCTCTAGAGGATCAATGTGAAAATGATTCCAATTGTCCTGATGGGGATGGGATGGAAATATGCCATGAGCACCAAGCAAAATGTGTTTTCCAATGAAAGCGGCTTCGGGGCAAAGTAGAGAATGTACATGTGAGAAGTACCGGAGAGGAACATCATGTCCTGCTGTTTGCCCCAAATAAAGTGAAATATTGTGTTGGTTCACCATTCCTCCATTGATTCAATACATCTCTTTTAGCTAAAGCAAACCGATAGGATTCAGATCCATGAAGAGGAATTTCAATGCCAATGCTAGATGCCTCAAGTCACTACTGAAGAACTTTTGAAGGAGATGTACCAAACATAATGGCAATCTGGAGGCATGGGGAGAACTAAAGGGATATGGGCATCTCTGGATATAAACTCTCTATAGAAAAGAGAAGGAGAGGGTACTGTAGCTGGTGTGTTAAAGAAAGTATATTATCAAATCAGGGTATTTTTATTTTAAAAGATGTTTTTTTACACAGAAGTTTAGTGAAAATGTTAGCTCCCCAAAATATTTCACTACTAGGGAGTAAATACACTGAAAGCACCAGATCCTATATCATATTGGATGCTGATTAGTTCTTGAATGGGGAACCACCAAGGAACACCAGGAACTACAGGCTATATTCAGAAGAAGGCAATGGCCTAACCACTCTGAATAAATCTAGCCAGAAAACCTGTACTGTGATAAAATGTAAGAATCATAACTGGCTTGAAGTCACATAACCACAGAAAGATGTTCTATCATGTTGTTGTTGTTGTTGTGTACCTTCAGTCTGACTTCCAGAGACTCCAAACCAACCAAGGGCCCTTCCACATAGCCATATCAGCTAGAATATCAAGGCAGACAATCCCACAATATCTACCTCTAGGGCCTCTAGTTGTAACAAAAGAGTAAATAATTCTGAACTTCCTCAGGAAATGTGCCCGAAAAATATTTATTGTGAGATCAGCCAGATGGAGATGAATGTAGACTTAAACTTAAAATGAGACAAGTACAAGACAGGATTGTTGAAACAGTAAGAACCTGTGATCAGAGTCTTTTTCATATTTAATATAATATACAAGTAAATGGAAAAGGCGGGCACAAATGAAACATGACACTGATGATGCCATCCTCTGTATTGATTTATTTAAAGTTTTGTTGAGTTGAAATGCAAATTATACCCTCACAGCTAGAGAACTTCAGAAGACATTGGTGTGTAAGAGGGGGAAAAAAAGAAAATACTGAGATATCAATCTGTCTCCCCCCACCCCAGTTCTCCCATCCTTAGTTTGCAGCAATTGAATTAAATTAAAGACTAAGGAGGAAAATTGGCATAGGAAAGAAAATTGGAATTTTTAAAATTAGTTGAAAAAAGTGGAATAACAGAGAATTAGGGCCCTTCCACACAGCCCTATATCCCAGAATATCAAGGCAGAAAATCCCACAATATCTGCTTTGAACTGGGTTATCTGAGTCCACACTGCCATATATTCCACTTCAAAGCAAATAATATGGGATTTTATTCACCTGTGTGGAAGGGGCCTATATGAGTCCTGTCTTGGCCAAACTGGGACAGTTGGTGGTGGAATAATAGCAAGTAAAAAAGGCATTCTACTCTCCTCTGGGAGAGAGATCCAATGCCTTGAAGCACCAAATAGAGCAAATAATTTTGAAGTGCCTTTTGTGCATCATTTACCGTCAAAATATGTTTATCACATCACAGTCTGGACAACTTGATCCCTCTAATAGCACTGTGTTCCAATGCTTTAGCTCTCTGTTTTACCAAGAGCTCTTTTGACTCCGGCTGAAGTGAGGGCAATCCAGGCCAAAGGAGTAAAACAAGTCATATCAGAACAGCAATGCCATTACAGAGAAGGCCATTTCTATGACCTGGCAAAGCTAATTGTGATATGACATAAATTCAGATGGAACACACTGAGCAAAAGTGCCTGCTTGATATACAGACCTTGGCTTTTTGATATGAACATCTGCACATCGTAGGATGTTTACAAACCCACTGATTTGTACTCATGTCAGTATCTTTCACTAAGGATCTTTGTAAGGTTGTTTCAAAGACACCGAGATATGTTTGAGTGCTGTTCCTCTTAAAAGTAAACTTTCTGTCACATATTGAAGTGCAACTTAGGATGAGGAGAACAAGGGGAAAGTTGTTTCTGAGGCCCCTTCCACACAGCTGCATAAAATCCCACATTATTATCTGCTTTGAACTTGGTTATATGACTGCGTGGACTCCGATAGGCTAGTTCAAAGCGGATTTGTGGATTATCTGCCTTGATATCTAAATTATATGGCTGTGTGGAAGGGTCTTAATATCTAGGTTATATGGCTGTGTGGAAGGGCCCTCAGTGTCAACAACAATAACACTTTGGTAGCAATAAAGCATCTATAACGAACAGCTCTCATGCACTATCAAATCAACTCTCATGCACTCTTTGGTTATAAACTAACATCAACCCTGTAAGGCAGTGGTTCTCAACCCGTGTGTACCCAGATGTTTTGGCCTTCAACTCCCAGAAATCCTAACAGCTGGTAAACTGGCTGGGATTTCTGGGAGTTATGGGCCAAAACACCTGGGGACCTACAGGTTGAGAACCAGTGCAGTAAGATAAGTCAGTTTTGCTATTTCCCATATTACAGCTAGTAAAGGGACGAAGGCTGTGAGAGAAGGTTTGCCAAAGGCCACTCAATTTGTGCATAGCAGATGCAAGATTTCAGCCAGGGACTACATGAATTCATAGCCACTGCACTGATCAGGTTTCATGTAAAAATCTTATGCCCTTAATTTCAAAGCTTGGCATAGGTATCCCATCCTGTCTTCAAATCTCCTGCTCTCTGAAAACAGGGAGTAATGTGTTGTGAAGTTTTGCTGTCTCTGCTGCAAGAGACCTCTGGTATTCTCCTTCGCACATAGGCATTCACTGCTGCTGCTGCAGTTGCTGCCACTGGGAGATGTGAGGAGGAGGAGGCAGCAGCCGCCAAAAGCATATGCTAAACAAACACTTCCATCAGGGCTTGCCCTTGCTAGAGGCAATGGTGTGTTGATGGTCTGAGCCGCTCCCCTAACGTCAATGAGCCATCACCCTCCCTGGTGATGTCAGAGAGGCCTCAGCGCTCCGACTGGATTGGCTGGGTCTGGCTCTCAGGGGTTGGCTCTGAGGAAAGGTGAATGTGCAAGGAAGCAGCTGTGGAGAGGTGTGTGTGGTGTGTGTGTGTGTGTGTGCAGAGTCAGAGTGTCTGCAAGCAGGCACAGACAGTTGGGCTCTGCTCCGGCAGAGGAGTTCTCCTTCCTTCAGCAACTGATCAAGACAAGCAGGCAGCAGGGTCTGGATAGTGGATACTTTGGAAAGGGACCCTGGCTTTCCCTATTCCTGAGGAGTGGAGCCACAAGAAGGCAGCAGGAGAAGGAAGCAAAAAGGGTGGGAGGAGTTGTGCAATTTGATTTCATTTTCCTGACTTACAACTGAGCCTGGGACACCTAAATCTGATATGCCAACTGAAATCTCTCACACAGAGAGAATGCATGCCATCTCCGGCTTCCATTCCTCGCTGACAGCCCGACTTCTCAACAAAGGTCCCGAGTACCTTCGCAAACAGATGGAGGCAGGCAACCCGGGCCGGAAGAGTGCTGTGGAACGACTGGCAGCGGACAAAGCCAAGTATGTCAAAAGTCAGCAGGTAATCAGGACTAAGCATGAACCAGCAGTGGTTACAGCACTCAGCTCGGGTTCAGAGAGCAGCAGCGAGACCTGTTCAGTTGGAAGTAAGAAAGCCAGCAATGTGGCTGAGGAGAAGAGTGTTGAATCCCAAGTTAACCCCACCATGGATTCTGGCCCTGCTCCCCTCGAGCGTGGTCCTCCCATCGTGAGGCGTAGCAGTGGCAAGAGACAGATGAGACCGGACTCCTTAGTAATCTATCGCCAGAAGTGTGAGTTTGTGAGAGGTCAAAGCCAGGAGAGCACTCGTGGGAGTTTGGTCAGAAGACTATTCCAGGGCTCCTTCAAAGAAAAGCAGCTGGTTTCTGAGGCATCCAAAGCCATGGTCAAGGAAGATGTCTCGCCTGAAGTGGACAGGGCTGAAATGGGCAAAGAGGTGAGTCAGAACCTTGACCTGGCAGGACAGACAGTGCCTCCAAAGACAGGTGCAGCCACGATTCTCACCAACAGGTGTGAGAATGCCCCTAGTCTGACTACGGCACCTTATGAGGTCAAGGAGGTGAGGCTGAAAGGTCTTCATCGCTCCCAATCGGACATTAGTTCTCGGTACTCAAAATCTTTCTCGGAATTTGACACCTTCTTTAAATACTGTGGCCTTGAACCCAAGGTAATAGAGGACCTTGGCCAGGAGAACTTTTCTGTGGCTTCCGACAACTTCTCCTTTCGGATCCGCAGCATCAGCATGGCCACATCCGAAAGTGACTTCACGAGGCACAGCGGGGATGACGGACTCCTGGAAGAAGAACTCACAGAACAGGTTCCTACTGGCACTTCAGTGATTGAGCGCAATGCTCGGATAATCAAATGGCTGTACACCTGCAAGAAAGCCAAGGAAGCAAATGCTGTGCTACAGGAGTTTGCATGAAGATGGCTTTCTTTGGAACACAGAGAAGCCAGGTAAGTATCATGGGTGGAAAAATTTTAGAATTGTACTTTTCGGCGACCTTATCTGATTTGAGAGGTAGAACTCGCTTCACAATGACCTACTTTACATTGACTTCAAGGCAAAGGAAGATTATACTGTAGTAGGATGGTCATAAAAATGGAGGATCATAAACAAAGTGAACAGGGAGGAAGTACATAGGTAATGGTAGCCTTTGTAAGACCAGATTAATGGTAATGGCTTTCTGGTTTTGCACTGATCAGAACCACAAACCATTTATATTACATGCATTTCTGAAATGACACATCATCTTTTCCTCTGTGATTGAGATTTCTGGGGCTTTAATCAGTGCTTTTAAACTCATGTACTTTGTTGGAGTGAGATTACAACCTCGAAAGAAAGTTAGATCAATATTTTGAGTCAATGTTTACATGTAGTCTGTGGCTAGCCTCTCCTGATTGGCAAATGACTTCTTTATAGCAGGTTGTGCTGTGCTACCAGGGAGCCTAGAAACTTGCTTAAGCCTTAATTAGATATAATTAAGATAAAGTGAAGCAAATTGCAAAGACTTGGTGTTCAAAAAGCTGCTTGGTTTGTCCCCAGTTTCCCCTCTCCTGCATTTACTTCTTCAACCATGGTAAATTAAAGTATTCATCAGCTTCTTGTCTTCTTCCACACTCCATTTCACCTGATATGATAGGACTCCTATGATATCACTATAATAGCTTGTGTCAGCTACTTCTTGGTATTTTACATTCTCTGGTCTGGTTTTGTTCTAATCATTTTGCTCAAACTCATTGGTTCTCAGCCTGTGGTCCCTGGACCACCAGTGGTCCGCAAGAACTAAAATATGGTCCATGGTCTCACCATTACTACACTGTTGCAATGAGAGCGACTGGTCTCGTGAAACCCTCTTATAGTCCGGAGGCTTATTCTGTGAGCAAGCAGATGGTGACTACTGGATAGCATATGTTTTATATCAGAAACTAGAGCTGATGTGGTCTGTCCAATGAAATATTCTGCATCAGCATGCCAAATAACCAAACTGAATCCAAAATTGACCAAAAACTGATTGGTAACCCTTTTGGTACTAATGTTGGAGAGTGGTCTCTGGTCAAAGTGATCCCTGGTCAAAGTAGTCCCTGGAAGAAAAAAAAAGGTTGGGAAACCACTGCTCTAACTGATGGAAGCTGGATGATATTGCCTGTATCGATGTGGGGAGCAATTTTGAATGTCAAATTTACCATTCCTATTATCCTAAACTTTACTTCGAAGTGAGCATGCAAAGGCTGTCCATTTCCTATGCATACTCTCCTGGAAACAGGATCCACTGCAACCAATAGGATTTAGTTCCCAGAACTATAGCTGTGATAAGTGTCTACTAACTGGGCTGGAGAGAGTTTTTAGGAAAGCACAGAAAGAAAACATTTTTGCAAAAGTTCCAAAGGAGAGGCAAGATGCTTCTGTGTGCCCAGTTGTTGAGGGCAATGAGAAGAAAAGTGCTGCCATATTGGCGTCTTGTTTTTTGGCTTCCCTAAAGCCCACAAGAAACTGTATGAATGTTGGAAAAGACAGGTCTTTAGTATGATCCAGCAGGGCCCTTCTGAGATTATGAAATTATAGACATGTATGAATCTTTTGTAGGGAACATTGAATATGAGAACTGGTTTTCAGTTTAACAATTGATCAAACCAAGGGATCTATTTATTTGAAAAATAAAATGTTCATGTATATTATACATACAGCCTTCATGACAGATTGTTCTACTGTAATGTTTGCAGAATCCAGTGGGCACTTATGAATATTTTAAATCTTAATTCAACAGGGAGTACAATCATGACTTGCAAATCTCAGAATTCTTCACCTCTGAATATTCTGGTTCAGGACTTCTGGGACAAGTAGTTCACATGGTTGATTCCAACACCTGAACTAAATAGGAATAAAGCATACAAAATTCCCACTTTATTTCATACACCTGTTCCAGTTCAACTTTTCCAGTAAGTTCTTAGGGGTACCATGGCACAGAAAGGGAGCTTTGAATGGGCTCACTTTCTTCAGCAGTACAGAGCACCTTGGAGGCATGTTATTCATATTTTATCAGCAAAAGCTGCCTAGGTGGAGGTCAGGTTGCCTGCCATGTATATCAATTAAAAAGAACACCCTCACCTCTTTTTAGATATCTATTTTAAAGTAAGCAAACAAATGAACACAACTAAACTACCTGATCATATAAAAGTGCCTGGTGAGTATATCTGTAAGCACCTGTAGTTCCCTTGAGCTCACTGGAATAGACAATTGAGGCTGGATCTACACTCCCTTATATCCCAGGATCTGACCCCAGATTATCTGCTTATCCCAGATTATTTGACAGTGTAGACTCATATAATCCTGTTCAGATCAGATAATCTTGGATGAAATCCTGGGATCCAAGCCTGACAATCACAACTACTGTTCAGTAGGCAAACACAGCCCATAGAAAGAAGGACATGTAAAATCCATTTGGACCAGTAATTGAAATTAACTATATCTCCAGTCCTCTATTCAAAAATTTGGGGAACCAGATACAGATTTTAGTAGAGAGTAATGCCCTGCCCACCCACCACTCCTTCCTCACATGTGACTCTTTTCACACATGTCTGTTTTCACTAAGACAGTGGTTCTCAACTTCTTTTTTTGACCAGGCACTACTTGAACAGAGATCACTTTGACTAGGGACCATTCTCCAACATTAGTACCAAAAGGGTTACAAATCGGTTTTTGGTCAACTTTAGATTTGGTTTGTTTATTTGAGGTGCTGTTTCAGAAAATTGCATTGGATAGACCACATCATCTCTAGTTTCTGATACAGAAAATATGCCATCCAGCAGTCACCATCTCTTCATCCATAGAAAACCATATTTAATAATCTAGAGCTGATGTGGTAGTAGTAATCTTTCGTGAGTAGTCAGCCTCTCCCCTCCCAACATCCTCGTTCCTGGGCACTATAAGAGGGTTTTGTAAGACCAGTCACTCTCATTACAGCGTGGTTTCGAGGCAATGGTATAGTGATGCTGAGTCCGCGGACCATATTTCCGTTCTTGGGGACCACTACTGGTTCACGGACCACAGGTTGGGGACCACTGCACTCTTCAGAGGAGTGTAGAATGGCACCTTGTACTCAGCCCATTTGCGCATATAAACCACACTAATAAACATACACATTTCGTATGGGATTTTGGGCTGTGTATGCTAGTGCAGGAGAATGGAAAGGATGTTAATGCTGCTCCTTTACTAGATCACCCTTTATGCACATGGAGGGTGGCTTTCTGAAAGGAAGAGTTCATTCATATGATTTCAAATGCTGGAAAACAAGTGTTCAAATGTGTATGAAGCATCTCCACAAATACAGATGGCTATATTCCCCACCCCTTCATAAAACTCCTCTCCACACACAGAATTCAATTGATAGGGTAGGACTCATATGCTGGGCTTACAAGAAGAGGATTCAGATGGTGCATTGGTTTAGCCAAGGAGGGATTTGGAATTTCTGATACCAAAAGCTGTCTACTTTTTCATATTTCTTCATAACCATATTTTTTATAAGGAAGGACAAACTACAGCTTCAAAATGCTATGCTATAACATTATCCGCATTGAAAAGAGTTAATTCAGGATTTATGGTCCATTTGGACCTCAAACTCTCAAATTTGAAAGGAACCCCACTCCCAGGGGACCCAAAAGCAATCTTGTTCCGCCTTGGTTGTATGCTTTCCTCTCACCAGGGCCCCATTCACTCCACATGATTATAGCACTGTGGTTCTGCTTTAACTGGTTTGATCCCATCCCATGGAAAACTTAGTTATATAGTTTAAGGAGGGTTGTCTTGATTTCTCAACTAGAGGGTTCTTCTCTAGGACCTCAATATAACGCAAGCCCTGGGAATCCAAAGGATACAGTCATGGCAATTCAAGTGAATTCATCATGCTATGATTATGTAGTATACATTGGCCATGTGGTTTTGTTGTCCACTAGTCCTGAATGACATGACAATTACTGTTGACTGACAGATTCATTCACTATTTGGGGTGGAGCCCTCTGGAGAGGGCACCTATATTGGTAGGATATGATTTACTGGATGCCCTGTCTCTTGATCCTTTTCAAGAACTTAGCACAGAGGTTAGCATGGAGATGCTGTTCATAGGGCAAGAAAGGGAAATGGATCATCCACTGGATGCCAATAGCTAGGCAGGCTAGAGCACATGGCTTAGCTGGCCTCTACATCCCATAGCCTGCCTAGCTATTGGAGAGAAATTATGAGAGCTGGGATTTATCAACATCTGAGGGAGACAGAAGTTCCCACGCCCATCATAGAGGAATCTCACCAGGAAATCATGCACATAAGAGGTCAAAGGTTAAGGGGATAATACTCATAATGTCCCTTCCTTTCTCATCAGTTCCACCCACTGTGAATTATATTTGAAATGTCTGGATTAAAATCTGCATTGAAGGAACAGCAGTGAAAAGATTCCCAAAAATGTTTAATTATGGTACAATTCACATGGAACAAGGCCAAACAGCCTGTGCATCCTTTTCACAGTGAAAGACCTCTCTTAACTAATGTTCCACTCTTATCTACTGAGCTTCCATTAGTCCCCTTCCTTCCACTTTTACTATCTCAGAAGCTTTAACACCATGCTATGTTTAGGCTGCTGATTTCAGTTCCTTGATCCACTGCTTCTCAAGCTATAGATGTGAAGGGCCAAACAAGGTTTCCCCCTGACCCCAGTGTGCCAGGAACCAGCTCCACATTAGCGATCATTGGCTACAGTTGCTTCTTCCTTTCCTGGAAACTATCTGCAGGTCTCCAACCAGTAGCTCACAAATTGGCACCAGTCCCTGGACAGCCATTTCACATACTACTGCTCCAAACCTCTGTTTGAATCAAAATGCTTGGGTGTATTTTTACTTCTATAAAAGTTTCCATGCCCAGAGCAACCACAATACAATAAAATGCAACTAAAATCCAGTTTTAAAAT